TAAGATACTGCGCAGGACCCTCAAGCTCCCAGGCCTCTGGTAGAGGACCCGAGCTTGAAGGATAAACCGCCCGCAGGGGCGTGCTGGGTGTTTTATATTCATTATAGAATAATAGTAAAAGTAGAATAAAAACTCACAGTAATTTCAAAATTGTCCTTTCGAATGACTTTAACCAGTTCATTTTCCAAGCTGTCCTTCATCTTCTGACAGATGGAGGAGAGAACATGTGCTGTCATTTATATCATTATTATTTTGTCAAAATCTTTTTATGATCACTTTTCACTCTTACTTTTATTTCCTCTTGGTCTTCTTTGTTGAGCTGAGAAAGAGAGAGAAGAGTCACATCAACATTTCTCTCTTTCTTTTTTAGCGCACTCACACACCACAAATATTGTAATCAACCTGATATTACCAAAAAGTGTGATCATTTTGTTTTTTCCAACATTGCAGCTTGGGCATGACTATTTTTCAGTTTTCTTTTTTAAAAAACTGTTTACTTGCAATGAAAATTTTGAATAACTGCAGGTTAAACAGTGCTAATAAGCTAGTATGCAGGTGACTATGAATTAATCACTATGAATTAAAATTGTTTACAAAGAATTAGTTACAAAGAATTTAGTTTAACTCTGACTCAAATACTAAGTCAAATAACTACATAACTAAAAATCGAGCAGCACGGTGGTGATTGCATGTTCTCCCCGTGGGTTCTCTCTGGGTGCTCCAGGTTCCTCCCACAGTCAAAGACATGTGGGGTTAAGTTAAGTGGTTGAATGGTTGTCTGTCTCTCTGCGTTAGCCCTGCTTCAGGCTGGTGACCTTTCCAGGGTGTACCCTGCCTCTTACCCTATGGTAGCTGGGATAGACTCCTCCTTATCTTTGGAGACTGTGTTTCACTAGTTTTGCTTTTAGCTAAAGCCAGTGTCACTACTGGAAGACTGACGCAATACCTGGACCCTACAGTGGCTGCACAGGTAATCCAAATGCTCCAGGATGGCACATTGATACATGCCATTGCTAGATGGTTTGCTTTGTCTGCCAGCACAGTCTTAAGAGAATGGAGGAGAATCCAGGGCAGTAACAGCAGTAATTCTAGGAGAGCTGGACAGGGCCATAGAAGGTCTTAAACCCATCAACAGGACCACTATCAGCACTTTTGTGCTATGAGGGACAGGATGAGCACTGCTACAGCTACAAAATGACCTCTAGCAGGCCACTGGTATGAATGTCTGTGACCAAACAATCAGAAACAGAGTTCATGAGAGGTTTGCATATTTTTGTGAATGCACAGGTCCCTTAAGGCCCTGTCTGGTCTGGACTTTTACTGGGTCATTGCAACATCTCGATTCTTTTCTTTTTAAGTTATTCTGTCGTAGATTTTGTGCTTGGGGTCATTGTCCTGTTGGATGACCTCATTTGGGGCAAGCATTAGCTGTCAAACAGATGGCCTCACATTTGACTCTAAAAAACAAACCGAAATCCTCCGCCACCTTACGTCACAGTCGGTATTAGGTGTTTGTGGTGCTGTGCTTGGTTTTTAAGAAAAATAAAGCACCGTAATGTTAAGAAATGCCCTTATAAATTTTTCCAGATTGATGGTTTTGAGATCATTGCTGATGCCTTTCCTCCTTGGCATTGTGTTAGCAAACACCTGAATGCTCCAGATCTGCACACTGCAACATTTTTTGCTTTTATCGAGGTGCTCACACTTAAGATAATCAATAATCAAGTGCATTTGATTAGCACTACCTGGATGCTACTTCCTCTCAAAATTCCTAAGGAAGCAGTTCACGGTGTATTGACGTTTTCATAGAATCGCACAGAGTCTTGTTGTTAAGAAATATACTCTAAAACACTTCTTCAGTAAAGACTCAGAGAAGAGAAACACACAGAACTTCTTGCTAGCAAGGGCAGCCTCCAGAACTGAGACTTGCACTGAGAAACTGCCCCGGTCTTTATTTATACTTGAGTGGGTGCTTGTGTGTGTGTGCGTGTGCGTGGCGTCCTGCTGATCAAAGGGTCATATAACAGCCCAAAAGGAACATCCTTGGTCATAAAGAGGGTAGTGTCCCCTGGTTCACCCTAGATAACACAGTGAAGAAGTCCAGCAGTTCATCTAAACAAAAGGCACTTAGACTAAAACAGACATAGCTACGTTAAAACAATAAAACAAGGTACGACCTCTCCCATTGCTCCTAGGATGTGGGGGTGGACACTAAAACACCTTGAAGTGTTACAGGCCCCCTAGG